CGCTTCTTACTTTCACCTTTTTTAACATTTCCTGAATACTTTCTCCTCTTCGCAGTCCAGTTGGGGGATCAAGTGTGTCTCGCTGCATTTTTTCAGCATTTACGTAGCCACTTTCCCTTCAAAGTTTGAGCATGAAACATAATTTTACTGGGATAAATCTGTCACTTAAATGAAAGAATAGAGTTGAAAATGTTAAGCCTCCCCCCCTCCCCAAAAGAGGGAGGGAAGAAAAAAAAGTCTCCCCCCAAATGTTATTTAGAAATCCACTTTTGCAGCAAAGATTCCCCCTCCCCAAGCCCTTCTTTCTGCTTTTTTTCTTTTTTTTCAGTCTCATTTTTGGGGGTGGGCGTGTAAAAGGGGTTGATTTATTTTTGCAGATGACCCCTTTCCCCACGCTGACATTTTTACAGCCGACTTAACATCGAGTCCGGCGTTTTCAGTTATTTGTCTTAATTGTCAATATTTGATTGACTTTTTTTAATTCTAAGGGAAGGCGGGCGGCCGGTGCAGCCCAGCTTGTCCCTCCCAGGCTGTGTCTGCCGCCAAGAAAACCCCTGCCAGCTGCAGCTTGGCTCGACCCCACGAGTGGCCGGAGACACCGGCACAGCTCTCTGCCCACTTGCTGGTTGCTGTTCTGTGCCCAGGGTTTTCTGTTGGCTGGGGCTGGAGTTTGCAGGGTTCACGAGTTGCCTGGAAGGGTCTAGGGGTGCAAGTCCCTGGGGCCAGGTTGTCTTCATCCTCTGTGGATAAGGGGGCTGAAGAGACACATGGGCTGGGCTCGTGCAGGGCAGCAAACCCGTCTGGTGGCTGTAAATCACAGCTGCCCTTTGGGGGAAAAAAAAAAAGAGAAAAGTCCAAAAGAGAAGCAATGTGCATCTTTAAAGCAGGGTTTTGTGCTCACTGGGGCCAAGGCCTCCCCACTCCCTCCCTCTTTCCCTCTTCATCCCTCCCTCTCTCCCTCCCTCCCTGCTCTTTCTATCTCTCAGAGAGAAAAATCAATTCTCCTCAAACCTTTTACTGCCTCCAAGATCAATTCCACCCCTTTCCCCAATATAGATAAATAGGGGGTCACTGTCTCAGTGCTTTGTTTGCAGAGTGCCATCACTCCCGTGGGTGGTTTTTGGGGATGAGAGGTGCTTGTTAGGCTCTCTGGGCATCGATCAGCACAGCCTGGAGTTCGCTCTTCCCAAATTTCTTGTCTCTGAGTTCAATCTGTGCCTGCCTAGGAATAGGGGGATGTGAATGCATGGTAGCTTGGGGACAAGAGATGCTGCAGGGTGATACTGACAGGAGGGGGTGCCTGCATGCACATCCAGCTTGGCCTGCCTAACAGCACCAAATCAGTTGGCCCCAGCAAATTTGGGGATGACCTTTCCATTGGTCAACTCAGCAGCTGCCAGCACTGCCTGCTTGCTGTACCCATCCTTGGTGCCATTTACCTCAGCAGTGTCCATCATAAGAGGGATGTGGGGTTGAGGCACTGCAGAGAGAGAAAGGCCATTTTCCCCTAGCCCAGAGCACAATTTAAGCTCACTTTAGCTTGTGTGTGTGCCTACAGCCTCCTTCTGCCATTCAAAACATCCTCCTGCAGAGCCTCCCACTCCAGAGCCACATCACTGCCCTCACTGGGGCTCGCTGGAGGCTGAGCATCCTGAGGAAGAGATGTGCAAGTTGCAGTGAACCGCAGTCCTGAGAAACTGAGCAGCCCCTGTGCAGAGACCTGAGAGGATAAATAAGGCACCAACTGACTTAAATCTATAATAAGAGTGGAACTTTTGTGGCCTGTCCTCTAATTGCCTTGTTGGGTAGCACTTGTAGTACTGTGGGCTGATGCTGAACAAGAGCTGATGGGGCAGTCACAGCTGGCTTTTCAGCACTGTGGGGAATTCTTTGGTGCTTGGCATAGCACAGACCTTTTGAGGTACAAACAGGTAGCCACCATCCCCATCGGGGTTTGCTCTGGGAACAGCAGCTGCAGGACCGGGAAGAAGGATGTCCTGTCCCCATCCTCCCCCTTCCCTGGGGATGGATGAGCTTTGGGCCTTGGGTTCCCAGGGTGAAGGCAGGGAGGGAAGGTGACAGGTCTATTTATAGGCGGCCCATCGACCCAGCGATTTGCATAGCTCCTTCGGAAGTCGATCGATGCCTCCATTAAAAAACTGAGACCAAATCAATACGCCCTCTCGACTTGTGCAAAGGTGAAAGGCATTAAAAGGGTGGCTGTACCCTTCACGCCTCCCCTGCCAGCTGCAAAGTCACTGCTCCTCCTGCATCCCTGGCCTGGCAGAGGGACATGGAGCAGTGTCCCCTGGGCTGGGGACAGCTGGCAGCACACTGTGTTCTTCCGGAAGGTGTCTGGTTCCTGCCCACAGGCACACCCAGACTTGCCTCCGTTTTCAGGGCAGCTGCCTCGTTCTCTGCCAACCAGCATGTGCCCTGCTGGCTGCCCTGCCTCCATCTGGGACTCCTCTGTGGCACCTGAACCACTGAGCCCTGTGGAGCTGGGTAAAACAGAGCTATTCCCCATCCAGCACAGCTTAAGGTGGCAAAAGGACATGTCCAATGTCATGCAGGGACATTGGGGCAAGTTACGGGGTGCGGACAAGCTGTATCTTAACCTCATGTGCTGATTTTAGGGCTCTCTCTGGTCCAGCTGCCAGAGATCATGTGCCTGCAGTGCCCAGCATCAGGGTGCATTGCTGATGTCTCCACACCTGTGCCAGCCCTATCCCACAGCCCCTCTGATCTCCCTCCCTCTCTCCCCCTGCTGCTCTCCCCAGCCAAGCTCATCGTGGAGACAGACACCTTTGGGAGCCGCGTGCGTATCAAGGGGGCAGCCACGGGTTTCTACATCTGCATGAACAAGAAGGGGAAGCTGATTGGCAAGGTAGGGTGCAAGGGTACGGGCAAGGCAGGGACCTGCTGGGACGCGGAGCGGGGACTGCCATGAGAGCAGTTGTGCCTCTTGGGGGCAGGGGAACAAGTCCTCCTGCAGCCTGAGCGGGAGCAAGAGAGGTGGGCGGGTGCCGTGTGGGGCGCATTCCTTCTATCTGTCCGAACAAATAGGCGGATTGCTGGTCTATTCTCCACGATTACATGGTACAAGTGCCAGGAATGTTAAGATGCTCCATGGGGCTTGCCCCAAGGCCAGACCCCACCTCCGGCCGCTGGTTTGTCATGCAGCTTCTGTGCCTTGATGCCCCTTCCCGCCATGGCAGGGCCGGATGTACAAAGTCCCTCCAGAACAGTGATTCAATGCAAGGATTTTCCATGGCAGCTGCTTCCTGGGGGCTGCCCAGTGTGGGTTCTTCTCTAGTCCTGCTGCTGTCCATAATGGGGGAGCTCAGTTCCTGGCTACCCCATGCTTCCCCCACCACCTTCATCTGTGGGCACTGTCACCACTGACCTCATGTCGCTTCTCCTGCCACTCAATGTTCCTCGATGTCCCTCCTGTATTAAAGACCCCAGGGGGACAGGATGGGTGGGTGAATTGGGATGGAGAGTTTGTTTATGGTTACATCCAGGCACAGATGGAGGCAAAAGTTCCCTTATGGATGTGGTGGAAGTTAAGGCTGGGACCAGCTGCACTGGTACATAAGCAGCAGTGAGCAGTGTTTGTGCCTGCTCACTGTGGCTTGTTAAGGAAAAACACATTTTGGGCAATTCTGACTTGTGGGAGAAGTGAGCCTTTGGTTGCCCACAAGCTCTGCAACCCTGCTGCCACAGTGAGAAGCAGCCCTCTGAGCAACTGCCTGTCGCTTAAATCTCTGCTCCTGTCCCCTTCTCAGAGCAACGGCAAAGGCAAGGACTGCGTCTTCACGGAGATCGTGCTGGAGAACAACTACACGGCGCTGCAGAACGCCAAGTACGAGGGCTGGTACATGGCCTTCACCCGCAAGGGCCGCCCGCGCAAGGGCTCCAAGACCCGGCAGCACCAGCGGGAGGTGCATTTCATGAAGAGGCTTCCCAAGGGCCACCAGACCACCGAGCCCCACAGACGCTTTGAGTTCCTCAACTACCCCTTCAACCGGAGAAGTAAAAGGACTAGAAACTCCAGCTCCAGAGCGGGCCCTTGATGTGCCTGCCCCTGCCCCCTCTGCCTGCATCTCCTGGAGGATGCTCCTCTGAGCTTGGTGGACTATATGTAGAGACTTTCCCATATGGGTATTAAAACAAAACAAAAAAAAAAGGGAGGGGGGAGGATAAGAAAAAATTACCTGCTCTAGTTGTTGGTACTTTTGGGAGGGTGTTTGGTTTTTACAAAAAAAAAGAAAAAAAAAGACGAAAAAAATGAGAGAGACTCTATTTTTGTACTCCAGCTTTAAAAGTAATGAAACATTCAAAGACTGGTGAAGGGAGAAGAGCCCTTCACTTAGAAATGTTCTAGTCTGTTTGGGGTTGCGCTTTATTTTGTAAATTTTTTTTTTTTTTGGTAGCTCTAGGGGGAAAGGAGTTAAAAAAAAATGTTTAAAACAAACAAGCAAAAAACCATGGAAATCCAAATCTGGAAGCGATGTGCTACTTAAATGAACTGAACTAATGCTATGCTTGCTGGAGAAGATGGAGAGGCTGGAAAACAGCTAAGACGCGGGGATTTATTTTGGAGGTGGTTGGAGGCCACCTAGGTGGTTTTGGCAGCCTGGGTGGTGTGGGGACACTGCCAGTGGGGGCTGACTGTGACGCCTGGGGTGGGGACCACTGGATGCTTCCTTTCCTTGGATGTGTCCACTTCTTTGGCTGAGCAAGGGGTTGCTGGAAGTCACATCCTTCTGAGAATGCTGCTGACTTCGCAACTCTCAACTTACTTTTTTTCTCAGGAGGGGACAGGGGGTGATGGATTCCCCAGTGAAAGTCCTGAACTGACTCGGTACCTCTTACCCACCGGAGCATCTTTGGCATTTGGTTTGTTTTAAAGTACTAAGGTACAGCTGCTGTGGAGCGGGCTGATAACTGGTATTATTTTTTTCCCCATGTGGAAAATGTGAACTTCTCACCAAAAATTGATATTTTTTTTCTGTCTATATTTTTTTATGAGATACAAGTTTTCATCCATAAAATTAAACAAAGTTTACAAATTATTGTGGAGCCATTTCAGGCTGTTTTGTTGTGATAATTCAGTATCTTGTCATAATAGTTGGTGCTTCCATTGCCAACCGTCTCTTCCAGGTTTCTTCTTTGATGAGAAATACTGCTCCCCTTGCCCCCCTAGGAAAGAAGGGGGTTTCTTTCAAAATTTCTGTGTTGACAGAAGCCAAATTTTATATTTAGAAGAATGAAAAATCACAAAAGAAACATTACATCTCTTGAGCAAAATCCTCAGCCAGCCCTGCTCTGCACATGCTGCCCTGGGACTGTGACTCTCTCCAAAGGGTTAAACCAATTATTCTTTATGGGGAGGGCAAACAAAGACACTGGATAGGAGCCAGAACCAGGGGTGAATTTTCATCCAATCTTTTTTGATTGTTTGAGGTTTTTCCTGTTTCCTTGAGGATTTTTGTTTTGTTTCGGTTGTGTACAAATTGAATATGAAATGATTGAAATATTTATTTAATATGTGCATTAAAAGTTTGTATTAGTCTAACTGAGCCTGATGCTTTCCAGGGAGGGGTTGGGGCTGGACAGACATATTGGAGAGGGATGAAAGAGGATGGCAGTGAGGTGCAGGATGGGGCTGAGGCTGCTGGTTGCTGTAATTTCCTTCCCAAAGGAACAGCTGTGGAGAGTGCCCCAAGATTTTGGACCCAGATGAGTCTTGTGGAAATAGCTTTCCTTGCAGCAAATTCCAGGTTTAACATGCAGATGTCACCTTGACAGGTGGGAGTAAGGCCTACTGCAGGTTGAATGGGGACATAGTACAATGGAGCCTTGATCACTGCTCCCAAGGAGGGGATGAAACTGCCCAACAGAAAGCTGGTATTTGCTTCTCTCTTACCCAGAAGAGCTTGGGGCTGTGCAGAATGGGCTGTTGTGTCCTGTCCTTCAGAGAATACTCAACCCTGCTGCAGTGCTGGGTCTTCCTTACAGGAGCTGATCAGGGATTCCAATATGGAGTGGTTCTAAGGTATGGAAGCATGCAAGAATGAAACTGTGAGATATGTTAAAGTGTTTAAGTGTAGCAGCCCTGCAAGGTGAGTTTTACCAACACAGGTGCCAGCCCTGGGTTTGTTGCGATGCTGATGGAGTGCCTGAGACATCACCTAGTGCTCATCCTGAGACTGTGGGTTTGAGGCTGAGCCTTCCCCTGGCTGACACAGCAGCCTGAACAGAGCTGGCAGTATTTGTCAGTAATTTCAAGGAGGGAAAAGAAGGGACTGAGCACTTGGCCGTGCTCTGTACCTGAACATCGCTGCCGCATCACGGAGATCAGGGATGTTGCTTGAGCCACAGGACAGCACGGATGGCTTTTGTCTGACTGTTCCAGGAGGGACCCAAGGGCTGTAGAAGCCTGAGGATGACAACTGGGACGAGACTTTGTTGTGGTTTACAGACTACAGGAATTAAAAGTGAATTGCTCCTGGCCTTTCCCCAGGCAGAGATGGTGTTTGATAGTCCTTAATGGTTGCTTTTCTTCCTTTAATTTGTCTAACTGTTTTCCTAATGGCTTTGTGAACATGGGTGAATTGGTGCCAGGTGCCTGCTCCAGGTACGGGTAGCAGAGGCACGGGACTAAATCCATGTCTCCTGTCTCGATACAAATGCCCAGCTATGGTAGGGAAGGGCACGGTGTGGTGCTCAGCCTCCAGTAAGGCTGTTCCCCCATCCCTGCCATCCTGGGGTGCAGACAAGAGCTGGAGCAGTGAGCAGCCAGCGCCCCGGGGTTTGAAGTGAGTATGCACATTCCTGTGTCCCTGCACAGCTCTGTACCACACTACCCCCCAAATCCTGCTGTCTGCTCTGCCACAGTGAAAGGCACCCAGGCCTGGCCTCTGGGAAGGGATCCCCAGCTCACTCGGTCCATGGTTAGTCAGCCACTTTTCATTAAAACGCTTTTGAGTGGCCATGGAGCACTACATGTTTTGTTTGTTGTTTGAATTTGTCTAACTTCTGCTCCTTTAGTCAACAAAGGTTGTTTCACCACTGCTTGGAAGATTAAAGAGCCCAGTTCTAGTAAGTTAATGAGTAAATGAATTAATTAATGGTTTCTCATATCCTGTCTCTGTACTGATACTACTTAGTCTTTGGTAAGTCTGGAGGAGCTCATACTCCTCCTGAGTCCTGCAGGGTGCTGTGCATATGGTCCCCAGGGCTGGTGGCTTCCACCACCCACGCAGGGAGGTGGAGACAGTCCCTGGTGATACCTGCTGTTCCTCCACAGTCACAGGAACCCTGGCTGCTATTTGAATGCCTAGGGTCAATCATCAACCCAGTAATCTGGGACTTTTTCTTCTTCATCAGCAGGTGTATGAACCAAGCTTGAGAATCACAGCCATGCAAGGGCCCTGGGGACTGTGAGGTGCTGAGATGGGGGCAGGACTGCAGGAGAGGGCTGGGGATGGGGGGCTTTGGGGATGGATGTTTGCTTTTGTTAACTCATGCTGTTAGTGTGGGTGTTTTGGGCAGAAACCCCAGCTTTGAGCTAGCAAAGTCCTTGTGGTGGGCATGTGCCTGTTGCTGATGCCACCATTCCATGTCACCCTGCAGCTCCCTCACTGCCACCAGCTGGCTGGAAGGAGGTGACAGATGAAGCAGGAGAGGAACCTTGCTGCTCTGGCTGTTGGAGCAGGGATGATGGCCCCATCCTGAATTCCAAGCAGCGCTGTGTGCGTGTCTCTGCCTGGACAGGGCTCACCATGCGCTGACATCCAGACACAGTGACAAGGCTGGAGTTGAGCAATGTTTGGGAGACTCTGCCTTGCCAGATCATGGGGAAGCCCATCAGGTCCAGCCAGCTAACACAGGGTAAGAAGTAAATGGGCAACACCAGGTAGGAGAAAGAGCTGTTTTCAGATTAAATGCTGCTGTGGTTGCCCAGAGAAGCTGTGGGTGCTCCATCCGTGGCAGCATTGAAGGCCAGGTTGGATGGGGCTTTGAGCAATCTGATCTAGTAGTAAGGTATCCCTGTCCATGGCAGGTCATTTAGAATGAAACAACCTTTAAAGTGACTTCCAATCCAAGCCATTCTGTGATTCTATAGTAGAGAAACAGAGTACAGGCAGCAACAAATTGAAGTGGCAAGAAAAGGGGCATGTGCTGTCTGAGCAGGGGCTGCACCAGGGCTTTATCAACCAAACCCCAAACCTTTTGGCTCATGCTGTCTCTGCTTCCACCCCTTCTCTCAGCTTACAACTTTTCCATGATGTCTGCTTGGATATGGGTGCCCACTGAGCTGGGTGGGCTGTAGGATGCTGTGGCAGGGCTGGAGCTTGCCCAGGCTCCTTAGGCAGGCTTCAGCTTGGGAAGGACGACTGGGCTGTTTGTTTATTGCATCAGGCTCAGCTTTCAAACATTTCCCTGCCATCCCCCTCCCCCTCCTTTAATTAATTCTGGGTAAGAAGTTCTGGCTTTATTGTGCCACCGAACTGAGGGCTCCCTGTGGGAAAAGTCACACCTTCTGAACAGCTTCTGATACCATGCAAATGAAGGACAAGTCCAGGAAACGCTTTCATCTCAGACCTGTCCAGCCCCCTGCCCATTAATTACAGACATTTCATTTGTGTGAGAGCAATTCCTCTCGGGGAGGGGGCGGGGGTGGCTGCAGCTTGTGGATCATCTCAGTCCCCCTCTCTAAAGAATCCTCTTTGGAAGGGATTTATAGCCAGAAACAGGGATGCTCAGTGACTCAGTGGGGGAATCTCATATCTTGGCCACTCCAAACCAAACTGGCTTGTTGGTGGGCTGTATCCTGCCAGCAGGGAGGGCTCAGCACTGCTCCGTGCCCTGCTCCACACCAGCAAGCTCTGGCTGTGGAACCAAGTGGAGCATCTTAGAGAGAGACACAAGGTGGAGCAGAAATGAGCTCAGGGCTGTCACAAGGCAATGGCCCTCCAGGGCCAGGAGCTCATGAGATAAATTGCTTTGGTCAGGGTGGCCACAAAATGAGTCTCACGTATGGAAACAACCTCCTGTGCTGCAACAGTACTCAACATGTGTTGAGGGCCAGCACCATACTCTGACAGGGCACAAAATCTTCTTGGCCACACAGACCAGACCCAATGCTCCTTTTGAGCCTTGGTCCCTCTCTGCTCCTCTCTCCTTTCCACACAGCTCTTCTGACCACAGGGTGCCTCCAAAGACGCGTCCAGGCTGGTTCCTGTTTTCCGGAGTCTGATGGGGATTCTTGAGTCCAGGCCCTGGAGAAGGTGCAGAGAGAGGGGATGTGGAGTACAGTTGGTTTTCACAGCCAGTTTCCTGGCCATAGTAATAACACTTAGCACTTCTGTAGCACCTGGGATGCTCCAAGCACCTACACATATGCTCCTCATTACCACTCTGCTTCCCATCTACAGCGTTTCTGCCCCCTCCCCAGCATGCCTACAGCACTATCAATTCTCCCTTAGAAATGGGGCCGCCCTCCAGTTCCCGTGGCTTTGCTGCAGAATACCTTTGATGGCTAAGTTTGCTGTTTGCCTTCCTCCTGGAGAAGGATGTGCTGTGAGCTCTGGTGTTGACAAGCTGTGGGCCCAGGGATACACGGCCCCTGTGGCTTGGTGCACCAGAGGAGCTCCTGGGAGATGTTGGAGGGATATTTGGGACTGGACTAATGGGAACCTGCAGCCATTGCAGGGTCAAAGTCAGCATGGAATTGGTGCCAGGCTCCAGGAAAACTTCTTGTCCACCCACTGGCCCTGTACCACATCAACTGCAGGATAAGAGAGGATTCCTGTGTGGATCAGATGAAGGTTACAGCTGTTACTCCAGGTTGCCTAATGGCCCAGGTACTGTGCAGTGAAATGCACTTCAGATTTGCTGTTCTGGGAGCAAAGGGGATGTTCTTGGGCTTCATGTGACTTACAGCATCTCTCCTATGCTCATAACAGCTGTAACATTGGAATGTCCTTCCAGGTTGTGTGGTGTCCAAGATAAAATCTGTGGCTACATATCCCAGGATCAGAGCCTGGGGGAGGCTTGGCTGTGTTGGGAAGAACCACTCCAGCCACGTTCAGGTATTATCACTTTGCTAAGTTTGTGCTGCTGTTTGTTGTGGACTGGAAATAGGAGGCTGAGAGCTGTCAGAGCCTCCCCAGTTTGGTGAATGCCTGATCTGTGCCACTGCTCCTATCCAAGCCCTCTGTTCAGCCATGACCGTGGCACTGTGAAAGGTTCCTGCTTCCTGGGCTGGTTTCTCCTGCCAATATGGCCAGTAGTGTTTTCTAAATTTTTTTCCTCTCAAAGATTCATAGCAGGAAAAAAAATCTCAGCCTTGCTCCTTCTGTGATTATTTTGCAAACTCTTTCTGCTGTAGTAGTAGTAGTACATCTTGGTGGCTGGAACCTCCTCTTTTATGAGCTGCTCCCAGAGTAAGCAGCAGCCCTTGTCCCAAAGAAATCATGTTTCCTATGGTCAACTGTAGCAGGTGCCATAAGCTGTCAAGATAGACATAAGCACAGGTCTAGTTGCTTAAGCAACTAGCAAAAGAGGATCCTGAGATGGGATTTGAAGGAGATCAGGAAGTGTCCCTGTGGAAGTTCATAGCACACGTTAGGAAAACTCCAGTAACAACATTAAAAAAACCCAAAACCCTAAGAGCCTGCTGAGGCACAGGATGAGACCCGGCCTGTACATCCATAGAATTTTGACTATCAAGATGTGAAATGGGACCTTGAGTGCTGGCTCTGCCTGCTCAGGCCCTGGGCCATGGCTGTGCTCCCTATCTCCCCGTGAGAAGCAGAAGCCCAGCTGGGAGCCAGCCCTTTGGTAATGGCCTGCGAATTTCCCTGGGCTCTGTTAATTGCCGCCTGGCTGCTAGTTACAACTCCAAGTCAATTGCTGGGAGTGTTGGGCCCTGCAAAACAACCCCTTGAAATCAGCTGTTAGCCCAATTAACAACCGGTTTGGCTTTGGTTCAGGCTGTTAACCATCAAACAGCTAACTGCTGCTAATGATTGATTTCTTAGCAGTTGGGGTAGCAGTGGAGGAGCAAACCTGTGTCACAAAATGCCATTAAAACCAAAATTCTGTGAATGCATCTGGCTCAGGCAAACATTTGAGTTGTCCCACAGCAGTAGAGCAGGCTAGGGGATGAGCAGCATTTTCATCCATTTTGATTGAAGTAGGGGTTATTGGCATGTGTTGGGATGAACAAGCAGCCACCAGAGCACTGCTGTCACCACACAGTGCTCCAGGAAGGTAGTCAACACTCCCTGTAGGGCAACCACTGGTACTCATCGGGCATGACGGCATTCAAGGCCCCCGTGGATGGGAACTGCTTGTTGTTTAGTTCTCTTCCACAGCTACTGTTCCAACCAGCAAACCTGCACAGATTAGTGTATCTCGTTTGGATGTTCATGTGTTTCCACAAACCACCTTTTCTCTCTGCACCACCAGCTGGGAGCTTGTACAGGGAGAGCAGCTCCTGTCAGCATCTGCAAGCCTGGGATGTCTCCATAGCAGCCTGAGACACTGTGCTTCCTAGATGACAAGGTAGACACCTCTGCAGGTGTAAGTATCTCTACAAAAACTGTAAAATACTCTATGGGTCCCAGGGTTCAGGCAGGGTTTGTTTAAGACTGCTGGCCAGGTTTTCATCCATTTCCCTCCAGTTTCAGGCCCTGGTTCTCCACTGTGCCCTGACAAGCTGGTTCAAACACATTGCTGGTGTTACATCAAGAGCTTTTTCCCTGGGGATATTTTCCCCCTGATCAAAGTGTCTGATTCAAGCTGCAGCATGTTTGGAGAGGAGGAAGACAGCCACCTGTTAAGGAAAGACTTTGAAAATGTAGGGGATGCACTGCAGAGGTTGACTTTGTGAAATGTAAGCTCCAACGGTGCAGGGTGAGGAGTGAGCACCTTGATGAACAACACTACGGTGGTTGTGCTTTTGTGGGTGCTCAGGGGCCTGTGGTCCTGCTAGGGCCTCAGCTCTGAAGCCTGAGCTCAGTTTCTGAAGCTGGAATCTGGTGCCTTTCAGCAGGACACGTGCTCCTGAGACCCATGCAGATATTTCAAAGATCTTGCTGCAGGGTTCCTCTAAGTGCAGATCCAGTTCTCCCTGGAGACATGCTTTTCCTGTCCTTTCACCACAGGCACAGTCATCCCACAAGTACATAACCCTGCATGGTGCATGTTTTCTATAATCAGGGGTATTAGATCCCTGGGCAAAGAGGACAAAGTTTCTTATTTCATCAGATACCTGCTGAAAGAAGCTGTGTTCTCTCTCACATTTGGATTATCTTGCCACCCATACTGGGGAGGCTGGGTTGCAGCTGAGACTCCCCCCATTCCAGGCAGTGCATGTGCAGTGAGCCTCTATATCTGGGAAATCAGTCAGGGTTTCACCTCCAGTCTGTACAAGAAGAAACTGGTTCTTACAAAAGTAAAAATGAGGAGTTTGGGGTAAGCAGACAACCCAGTTTTCTTACTCATTGGGTCTGTGAGCGAATGTTTTACTTGCAGCTTACGCATTTTACTGGGCTGAGTAACAGCAGTCCCAGTCTGTGCATCTTCTGGGTGTCCCATTGTCCCGAGCTGCTGCTGAACACATCCTTCCAGGTGGTGCTGATGGGTGCCCCTTGCCTGCTGGAGATGGCTGAACTCTGCCTGCTCAGAAGGTCAGCTATAAACAGAAATTATTGGTTTTGTTGGGGGCTCTTTTTAGACATCAAAAATGCTCCATCATCACCAGGCTGGTTTAGCTTTCAGTAGCCAGTGCAAACAGAGCCAAACCCTCAGCAGATAATTTAGCAAGAGAAGTGGCACAGACTTTCCAGAGCTATTCTGCCAAAGTATCACATCCTCATTCCTCCTTATACTTTGTGCCACAGCAGTTGATGTTGCTCTGGACTCTGCACAGACACAGGGTGAACACAGAGAAGCTCCCAGCTG